TGCTGCAAATTTCCCACGCAACACAGTAGGGCTTACAGATTAAAAATTAGGGCCCAGCAGTGTGGCCTAGTAGCTAAAGTCCTCACCTTGCATGTGCTAGGATCCCGTATGGGCATTGGTTCTGGTCCCGGCAGCCCCACTACCCATCCAGCTCCCTGCCTGTGGCCTGGGAAAGCAGTCGAGGATGGGTCAAAGCCTTGGGACCCTGCACCTGCATGGGAGACCTGGAAGAAGTTGTTCCTGGCTCCTGGCTTAGGATTAGCTCAGCTCTGGCTGTTTTGGTCACTTGGGGAGTGAATCATCGGATGGAGTAACTTCCTCTCTCTCTTTCCTCTTCTCTGTATATGTGACTTGCAATAAAAATAAATCTTTTTTTTTTAAAGAGTCCTTTTTTAAAAAAAAAAAAAAAAAAAGAATTAAAAATTACCCATGCTGGAGAAGGGGGCTACCCAACGCTAAAAAAGCAACAAGAGATCCTCATACTTAGTGCTGGTGAGCTGCTGTTCTAACAGAGGGCCAGCCTCCATCCTGCTCTCCTTCCTTCTCAGCCTACCAGAGGGCGTACAATCTGAGTCTTCATGCTACGATTTTATATCAGCATTTCCTATGGAAAGAAAACGGTTTATGCACGTCCCAGAAGTTCACAAATTATCACAAAGGGAGCAAAGCGTGTCTTTCTAGAACAACCTGGAACAATCCTGCCGGAGACCGCTCACCTGGGGCGAGGTCCGGTCGAGCGCTCTCTGGAGAGCCCGCACCACCGCCGCCGCCTCCTCCCCGCTCTCGGGGCCGTGCTCCCGCACCCAGGCCTGGAGCTCCTCGGGCAGGATGGTCAGGAACTGCTCCAGCACCAGCAGCTCCACGATCTGCTCCTTGGAGTGCAGCTCGGGCCTCAGCCACCGGCGACAGAGTTCCCTCAGCCGGCTCAGCGCCTCTTCCGGGCCAGCCACCTCCCGGTAACTCAACTGCCTGAAATGCTGGCGGGAAGTTTCAGGGTCCTGCCAGGGCCCCCGCGGGTCGCTTTCCCACTCTCCGGGTGGGTCTTTTTCCACTTTGACGACCAAGAGTCCCTCCCGCGGGGCCGGTGCTGACCCCTCGGGCCTCAGGGCCATCCGCGCCTTGAGGCGACCGAGCTCGGGCTCATCTTTCCCTGGCATGCGCTGGCGTTCCCACAGTCTCGGCTTCAGGCGAGAGGAGGTCAAACCCAAAGAGCTCATCAGCCCTTCCCAAAATGGGGGCGCGCGAACTCCAGGTACTGAACACCAGACCCCTGCCACCCCAGCCTCCCTCGGCCCGCCTTCCTTTCCCGCAAACACAACGCTCACAAAAAATCAAATTACTTCGGGAAGGAACTACGTCACGCGCTCTCCGAGGCGCATTCCCCAGCGTTTCCGGGTTGCCTCTCTAGGCAGCCGGGAAGAATGAGACTCATCTCGGTGGTTTACCCACCCTAGTTAGACCCCGGAACTTGGCTCCTGGAGCGCTACCTGTAGCCCCGAAAACTAACGGGCTCCCAAACAGGTGACCAAGAACAGAGAAAAGAAACACTTAAAATTATTTTACACGTAAATCGGATGTTATGGTCTTTGGTTTTAACAAAGATGACAAAATTGAGGCTGAAAAAAAGTTGTCCCATATGACCGCTGGTGATGGCGTGAATGAACTAATATCCGATTTCAAACTTCAACATTCAGTGCTTTCCGCTACTGCAGTGCTCATTTATTGCAATATATATGTTTTTCTGCTTGCAAGGGCCTAGTTGAGTCTCATAACTGCCTAGTGGGCAGACAGGCAGCAGGTGACTGTGGTGAATCCTTAACACAGCACCATCCTAGCACAGTGCTGGGCACACAGTTGGCCTTCAGCCAGAAGTTCCTGAGGGCCCATGGCTGTTCAGGCTGTCAGGACAGAAGCTGGTCACTGCAATAAAAATGTACCGGAATTGGATGACTTAAACATAAATTCAGTGTCTGCTTTGCAAGTTGGAAGTGTGAGATTGGCATCTCATGTGGCATAGCAAATAAAGCCAATGCCTGCAATACTGGCATCTTACATGTACTTTAGTTCATTGCTTGGCTGTCACACTTTCATTCAGAACCCTAATAAAGGCCTGTTCCTCCAAGTGGCTACAACGGCTGGAGCTGAGCTGATCTGAAGCCAGGGGCTTCTTCCGGATCTCCCACGCAGGTGCAGCGTCCCAGGGCTTTGAGTTGTTCTCAACTACTTTCCTAGGCCACAAGAAGGAGGCTGGAAGGAAAGTAGAGCAGCTGGAATAGGAACTGGTGCCCATATGGGATCCCAGCACATGCAAGACAAAGACATTAGCCACTAGGTTACTGCACCGGGGCCATAGGTTCCTTTTTCTTTTCTTTTCTTTTCTTTAGATTTATTCATTTTTATTGAGAAGGCAGAGCTACAGGGAGATATATATATATATATAGAGAGAGATCTTCCATCTGTTTGTTCACTCCCTGAATGTCCACAACAACCAGAGCTGGGCTGGTACGAAGATAGGAACCTGGAACTTCTCAACTCTATTTTAATAATGTGCTCACTGAAAGTTGCTATAGCCATGGTTATGTTTTATTGTGGTGATCCATCTTAGGGGACCGGAATCTGATGTGTGCTGACTGTGCCGAGAAAGATGGGGATTCAGGGGCTGCAAGGTAACTAAAGCAATGTACACTTTATTGAACTCAACAGCTAGGCAATCACAGAAGCCCCAGTAAAGAGAGCAAACAAGGAAATGAAGTAACAATCACCAGACCTAATAGCTTCTAAGCAGTAAACATGTTTTTCAGGAACAGATTCCGATGATCAAAGCAGTTAACTGAGGAAGGGGATACGCTTGAGGAAGGAGGCACAGGGAGGCGCCGCTCACTCTGCTAGCCCTCTCAGTCTGCTGAGTGTGTGTCAAGTTCTGGGGTCCTCAGGCATTTGACAGACTGGTTCGGGGGGGGAGGGCACATGTCCACAGTTTATTACAGCAAAAGGATACAAATCAAAGTCAGCCAAGGGAATTGTTATATGGAAAAGGATCTAGAAGAGGTGCAAGTATGGGGCACCTTTTATCCCCTTTCAGTGGTGAGATGCAGACAGTGGTAGACTCCCAGCAGTGATGTCTGACAACACACTGGCGACCAGGGAAAAATCACTTGTGCCGTGACAGCTAAAGTGGCAGAAGATGTTTCTCTGTAACTCTGCCTTTCAATAGATTAACAAACAAACAAACAAACAAACAAAACAAGAAAGAAAACTGCTGGCTCTTCTCAGTTCTCCCTCCCTGTACCCAAGAATGCCACCTTTCATTGGCTCTTTAGAACCTGGGTTGGGGATCAGCCCTGTGAGTTATTGAGACCATCCAGGCCTGCTGAGGTTTTGGCCACACCTTCAGATGGGCGGCACCAGCATTGCCCACCTAGTTCCTAATTAATTACGAGACCACCAATGGGGGGAGCATCTTACCTATAGGTTCCCCACCCAATAAGGAGGGGTCAAGGAAGGCTTAAAACCCCAAGACCCTTCCTCAAAGCTTTAGTGTCTCTCTCCTTCCAGGGGTGCTTCTCCTTTCTTCCCTTTCCTGCTCCCCTGGTCCCTTCACAAATAAACTTTTCTGTTTGCAACAGATTCCCGGCTTTTTATTTCTATACTAAGCTGAGGAAAGAACCCCCTGGGTATTTCTGGTAACATTATCAGGTTAATTCTCTGTAGTGACAGGAAACGAGTGCCAGTGGCAATGTGGGTGCAGAGGTCAAAGATCCAGGACCATCCTCCACTGCCCTCCCAGGGTACAAACAGGGAGCTGGATTGGAAGCCAAGTACCCAGGACTAGAATGGGCATCCAAATAGGATGCTGGTGCTGTAACCAAATGTCTAACTGAACTGATGCCATGACACTGATTCCTAAATAAATATTTTTTAAAAAAGAATTTATCTCAATGTTGTACTTGCATATGTGAAAAATCATGTACATACAAGAGTACATATGTAGTGGAACATTCCTTGTTATATAAAAAAAAGGATAAATTTGTTCTCCATAACTAAAGGATTAAATATAGTATATTTAAATATTACTATACTACTTAGCAATGAAGATGAGAATACTGTGTATGGACAGGGAACCAGCTCAGTGATTAAAGAAAAACAGAAGATGGTGAAAATACAGAAACTGTGTAACCTCTCTTGGAAGTTGCCCAAGATGTTAGTCACCTCAGCTATCTCTAGGGAGAGGAATGGATAAGGCATGGAAACATGACCTTTTCGAATTTGGACTCTTGCAGGTATTTATTAAATCAATGAAGTTCCTGAAATGTAGCTGGCAGCAGTTTGTTTCTCGATTCCCTTTCCAACCGGAAGATAAAGGGCCCTGGTCTAGGGAAGCCCTGGAACCAATCACGGCCCATCCCTACTTAGGGATGTCCCAGTCAGGAGGAGGCTCATTCCACCCTCAACACTGGCTTCCAGCTGCGTGACCGAGAACACACCCCTTCGCCTAACCGCATTCCGATAGGTCCGTGAAGCCGAGGCCGCCAGGAGAGCCGCGGTCTTATTGGCTGGGCCAGCGTGACCCGCGCAAAGCACGCTGGGAGACGTAGTCTCGGGCGCCGCAGTGTGTGGCGACTCTCGAGGCTTCTGACGTTGGGGAGTTGGGCCCCGCGCGCTGAGGAGGTAAGGAAGTGGGGTGTGTTTGATGAAGGGGCAGGAGGAGTCGCGAGGCTGCGGGCGACGGAGCCTGCAGGGGCAGGAAAGTAAGCCATTAGTGAGGGTTCCGGGCTTACAGAAAGGTTCGGGATCTCTTCGGAATGGGGAAGCCGAGCGTTGAGGGGTGAGGGGAGGCGCGCGGTCCACGACCAATCAGGCCCGAGCAGCCGCTGCCCGCCCCCACAGGCCCCGCCCCGGGAAAGGGGCGGAGCTGGGGCTGTTCCAGAAGCTTTGGGGTGGCCGGGAGGAGAGGGTGCAGGTCCCCGCGGTCCTGACGCCGTCCGCGTTGGCTCCGAGGGTTCGGAGGCGGCCTGTGTGGGCCCTCGGCCCGTCTCCCTGCCCACCGGCTCTGCCTCCTGGGCGACACCTCTCGCCCACCGTGAGGCGAGGACCTCCGGGATTCCTAGAGAAGACTCGGAAGTGCCCTTGGGGGTGGGGTTTGTGGCGAAAGCTAGGATTTGCTTACTTCCGGCGAGGAAGTGTTGCGAACTGTTGGCTTTGGTTTTTTTTTTCTCTCGATTTATAAGAAAAAAATAAATAAAAATAATAAAACAAGTTGTCAGCCTTGGCTGCGGGGAGCTTGTAATTGCAGGAGAACTCCCAGGGCCTTGAGAGGAGGGCTTGGGGCTTTGCGTCCGTCCGGAGGCGGGGCCTCTCCCTCACCTTGAACGGCCTGTCTCCCTGGGCTATTTCGGGGTCACAGAAAATTCCGCAGAGTTCGGGTGTCAATGTGTCCCGGAAGCCTTGCTTCTCTTCGGGACGAATGAGGCCTCCCTTGGGTCTGTCAAGCCTCGGTGGCTTGAAGGACAGGGCCGGTTATTACCATTCTGATGTCACCCCTGTGCTGATCTGAAGCTTGGCTTAGGATAGTGAGAGGGAGCGAGTACACGTGGACTTCTGGTCCCGTGAGCTCTGTGAAACGGGACGTTTTACATCTCAAACTGTTCAGTTGGGCGTGATGCCACATTGACGTGGCTCTCCGCTACATGTTTTTTTTTAAAAAAATGTTGAAGATCCTCGTAATGGATCACTGTTTTCTGAGTGGCTCGAGGGCTGTTTTGTACTCCGCATCTCTCGGTGAATCACCTTGTAGGACGGACCTCTTCGCCATCTCTGTTTGCTAGTGATGGTTCCTGGTATGTCAGTAGGTTGTATGCTTGTGAAGATCGTCAGCAGCAGAAGACAGATTGGGGCAGAGGGCCGCAGCCAGCCCCGGGAGTTGGAATGATCATGACAGAACCGCAGGGAGTGATAGACTTAGACACTCCGGCCGAGACTTCCCGGGAGCAGCAAGACCTCCTGATAGTGAAGGTGGAGGAAGAAGACTGCACCTGGATGCAGGAGTGCAGCCCGCCAGCCTCGGAGACTTTTTACCAGCGCTTCAGGCACTTCCGGTACCAGGAGGCCTCGGGACCTCGGGAGGCGCTGAGTCAGCTCCGCGTGCTCTGCTGCGAGTGGCTGAGGCCCGAGCTGCACACCAAGGAGCAGATCCTGGAGCTGCTGGTGCTGGAGCAGTTCCTGACCATCCTGCCCGAGGAGTTCCAGGCCTGGGTGCGGGAGCATCACCCTGAGAGCGGAGAAGAGGCGGTGGCAGTGGTGGAAAGTATACAGAGAGAACTGGAGCAGCAGCGACAGCAGGTGAGTACAGGGGGGTACACAGGAGCAGAGAGGAAGGAGAGGAAAAAGTCAGGGAGCTAAGCAGGGGTGAGAGTCGGCCCTCTGGTGCTTCATTTCTATTCTTTTGTTCCCCCGGGATTAGGTACACTGAGGAGATTACCTGCCACTCCAGCACAAAGAAGCAATATCCAGTGTGTTAACCTGTAGAAGACAATCTGCGATTTTATTTATTTTAAAAATTGCTATATTTATTTTTTGAATGACATGATACAAATTCAAAAAAGGTGCATAAGGTTATAATGAAAAGTAAGTCTTCCCACTATTAATTTCCCAACTGCCTAGTTCTTCTTTCCAGAGACAACCGTCGTCACGTGCTACCTCTATGTCTTACAGTGATACGCCGTCTTCTTTCTGCAGAAGCCTGTATGTGCAGAGCGCCTGCACTTCTGCTTCTTGTTTCTTAGCGTGGCTTGATCTGTTCTCTGTCAGGACAAACATGAGGTGCTTCAACAATTCATGGAGAAATGTAACTAAGCTGTGCATATTCCACAAACTTTTGGAAGTACCTGATGTAACTATCTTTCAAATTGCATTTTATGCCATTATGTGGCTAAACCATCATTTCTTCAACTACCTCTGATGGAATTTAAGGTATTCCATTTAAATTGCTCTTTTATTTTTGAAGATTTATTTATTTATTTGAAAGGAAGCAACAGAGAGATCTTCCGTCTATTGGTTCCTTCCCAATTGGCTGTAACAGACGGGGCTGGGCCAGGCTGGAATTAGGAGCCAGGAACTCCACCCCATTCTCCCATCTGACTGGTACTCAAGCACTTGGCTCATCATTCGCTGCCTACTCAGACACATAAGCAGAGAGCTGGGTGGGAAGTGGAGCAGCCTGATTTCGCATCAGTGCTTTTGTGGGGTATCAGTGTCCCATGCAGAGGATTGGCCCTCTGCACCATATCACCGGCCCAAAGTTATTCTTTTAGATTGTTTCTAAAGTTTTTCTAATAAGCTCTGGTGCAATAAATATCCTTTATATTTACTATTAGTTATAGGATGAATGCATGGAAATGAAATTTATTGACTCAGATTCATTTGTGATTTTGGTACCTGTTGACACATTCAGTGGCAATTATATCAGTTTATATTCACACCGTAATATCAGAAGTTTTTGCCCGTGTAAGTCAGTGTTATCAAATCTTTTGATTATTGTTAATATGAAAGATGCAGCATTCAATTTTTGTGTAATTTTGATTTATATTTCTTTTGTGGGCTTGACTAAGTACATATTATCAAAAATGTGTACCTTTCTTGAGAATTATCTATTTCTTGCCTGTAAGAAACAGTAAGCATTAGGTTGGCCATGTGAGTTGTAAATGTTTTCCCTTACTTATGCAGATTTTTGTTTTCTAGATTTTTTTTTTTACTTTTTATGGAGTCATTTTAGCTATGGTTCTTGGTTTCATGATATAATAAGGTTCTCAGTACAAAAAGATGAAAATATTTGTAACAATTCCTTTACTTTTTAAAATTTTTTAATGTACTTTTAAATACTGTACAAGTAGGATTTATTTTGGTGTGGGATATGAGATGTGGTTCATATTTTTCCCCAAATGTCTATGCAGTTGTCCCAGTCACTGACTAAAATGCTGCTTTTATGACACATGTTGGCCATAATGCATGTATTTGAGTCTTTTGAGTCTGTTTCAGTTTTTTTTAAGTTAAGAAATTCTTTTTTTTTTTTTAGATTTATTTTATTTTTTATTGGAAAGGCAGATATACAGAGGAGGAAAGGTAGAGAAAGATAAGATTTTATGTCCGATGGTTCATTCCCCAAGCGGCCACCAACAGCCAGAGCTGCGCCAGTCACTAAGCCAGGAGCCTGGAGCCCTCTCTGGCTCTCCCACACGGGTGCATGGTCCCAAGGCTTTGGGCCGTCCTTGACTGCTTTCCCAGGCCACCAGCAGGGAGCTGGATGGAATTGGTACCGCCTAGATTAGAACTGGTGCCCATATGGGATCCTGGCATGTGCAAGGTGAGGACTTTAGCTGCTTAGCTACCATGCTGGACCTCTGTTTCAGTTTTTAAATTCCAATTTTGTTAATCATACTGTAGTTTATTATAGTATTTATTATTAGAGTTCTGTAAAGTGTTTTATTATCTTATAGGGCTATCTTTAACTTCTCCCAAATTTATTTTTCAGTATTATCCATCTTTGAACTTTGGAATTGCTTATGTAGTTTCTAGCACCCCAAATATCCTGTTGGTATTATTGTTGACTGAATTAAAGTCATTAATTTATGGAGGATTGATATCTTTATGTTGTTGTATCTTCTTTTGTAATACTTTTGTAAAGATCTTCCTCTTACTGATAGGCCCATATTCTGCTACAATTTATTATGCTTTTGTAGCAAAGAAACAAAACCTTAAATTTAGGGGCTGGTGCTGTGATGCAGCCAGTTAAAAGTGTCACTTGCTCCAGGATCCTGCCTCAGTGTGCCAGCTCGAGTCCTGGCTGTACTTCTGATCTAGCATACTGTTAATCTGCCTAAGGCATTAAAAGATGGCCTAAGCAGTTAGGCCCCTGACCACCAGGTGAGAGATCAGGATGGAGTTCCCGGCTCCTGGCTTTGGCCAGGCCCAGGCGTGGCTGCTGTGTGCATTTGGGGAGTGAACCAGCAGATAGAATTTCTCTCTTTGTAGTTCTGTTGTGGGTTTACAAAAGTTTGAAACTATAATAAGGTGGTATTTCACATTCTAGCATCACATTCTAGAATCTGCTTAGGCTCCGAGGGTGTGGCTGCTGATCCTTGGCCAGCCCCTGCAGCTCTCCTGAAAGGCTGTCATGCACATGGGTGTACATGAATCTTTCTGTCATGGAATAGAGACTCTTGGTGACGCCTAGTTACGCCTCTTTTGACCTGGCTTGGTACACTGATGATAAAACTCTTCCACGTGTCCTTGTAGAAATAGTCAAAAGTCTAGCTTTTTTTTTTTTTTTCTTAAGATTTATTTATTTTATTGGAAAGTCAGAGAGACAGAAAGGAAGATCTTCCATCCGATGACTCACTCCCCAGGTGAGCACAATGGCCGATGCTATGCCGATCCAAAGCCAGGATCCAGGAACCTCCCCTGGGTCTCCCACGCAGGTGCAGGGTCCCAAGGCTTTGGGCTGTCCTCGACTGCTTTCCCAGGCCAGAAGCAGGGAGCTGGATGGGAAGCAGGGCTGCTGGGATTAGAACTGGCGCCCATATGGGATCCCGTCGTGTTCAAGGCGAGGACTTTATCCACTAGACCACGCCGCCGGGCCCAAAGTATAGCTTTTGACCACAAGTTTTTAAAATAGGGAATTTACATCAGATATTATATGTTTACCTCTCTTGAAGTCCATCTTTGCAAGAAGCACAGAGAAAAATCATTTCCTGTTGGCAGCCCGTGGAGGGGATTTTGCCATAGGCCTTGAGTTTGCCTACTGGCCTTTCCCTCCTCCTGCTTCCTGGTTTCCTCAATGTTGTTTCTCAACCTTTTTTTTTTTTTTTTAAATATATATATATAATTTATTTGTTTTTATTTAAAGGCAGATTTATAGAGAGAAAGAGAGATGGAGATAAAGATCTTCCATCTGCTGATTCACTCCCCAAATGGCTGCAATGGCTGGAACTGAGCCTATCTGAAGCCAGGAGCTTCTTTTGGGTCTCGCACAAGGGTACAGGATATTAAGGCTCTGGGCCATACTCTATTGCTTTCCTAGGCCACACAAAGAACTGATGGGAAGTGGAGCAGCTGGGACATGAACTGGTACCCATATGGAATCCCAGTACTTGCAAGGGGAGGACTAGCCAGTTGAGCCATCGCACTGGCTTTTGTTTCTCAATGTTACCTCCAAGCCGTTTTGCCTCCTGGAGGTGCTTTCTCCATTCCATCTCATTCCTTTGTCTTCTGTGGACATCCATGGGGGTTTTCCTTCTTTGGTTAGTTGCTTTTCAAATACTTGGGCTCTTAACTCTGTTCTGAGCACACTCTCATTGATTCACAAATTTCTGTATAGAGCGGTGTTTATTTATTTGTAAAAGTAACAGGAAAAGACTAGAAATCTGCTATCTGCTGATTCATTTCTCAGATGGCTGCAACTGCCAGAGTTTGGCCAGGTTGAAGCTAGGAGCTTCTTCCAGGTCTCCCAGATGGGTGGCTACGGCCCAAGCACTTGCAGCCATCTTTTGTTGCTGTCCCAAATTGTTCTGCAGGGTGCTGGATCAAAATTGGAGGAGAAACTGGCCCTCACACAGGATGCCAGTGTTGCAGGTTGTGCTACAGTGCCAGCCCCCAGGATCGGTGGTTACCACACTATTTTGCAGCTGTCTCTTAGTGTAACTCCTGTGCCGCATTTTACCCCTACTGAGAAGATTCAACTCAAGGGAGGCAGATGAGAAAGGTGTCACAGGGTAGGACCTTAACACTTCCAGTACCTGGTACTGAGCTACTGCCTTTCGGAATAGGTACGTTCTAAGGAGCAGAGTGATTGTATATAGAGTCGAACCAGAGTGAGGAACAGGAGGCAGAGGACTGTAGCATGATGGACATGTGCTAGTTTATGTCTTAATGTTAGTTTATCCAAGTTTGACTTGGTGAGTCCCACCAGTGACCTTTCCAACCTCTTTCCTCAGCTTTCCCCTCACTTAACTCACACCATGGCCTCATGTTCCTTGAAAAAAAATCCTTTTTCTGCCTGTGGGTGTTAAGGTTCCCTGCCCGAATCACTTCTGCCTTCTTTATTCCTGAGTGCCTTCCTATCTGCTAGGTGTTTATTTGAGTTGGTCTTACTTGTTCTGTCTCATGCCACTGCATACTTCTCCCTTCTACCATGTACAGCACTTCGTAATGACATGTTTATGTGTTAATGTGTTTCATGAAAGTCTTTTCCAACTAGAAGTAAGCTGTATTTATTAAACCACTGTGTAAGTAGTGCCTGACTGATTGTAGACATACATTTAAGTCATTGGGCAAGAGAATGATTGAAAGTATAATGGAACCTGCTGGAGTCCTTCACTTTCTTTGTAACTGTGCTGATTGGCTGTTGTTGTGGTTGTCAGATTGTTGCGTGTCCTGAAGTGCTTCCCCAGAAGATGGTGCCACCTGAAGCAGTGCAGGAGTCCTTTAGTTCCCAGCTCCAGTCCACCGACAGCCCGCCTGAACAAGAGCCACAGAAGCCACATCTTCTGAAGGAAAATGGTGAGGTTTATCCATTCAGTAGAACAGATGTAACTGCAGCATGGGTGCCCTGGTTACTTCAGGAGGTGGCATAAGAGGGACCCGGCATGATAGCATAATGGTTAAGGGCCTTGCCTTGAACCCACCAGGATCCCATATGGGTGCTGGTTCTAATCCTGGCAGCTCTACTTCCTGTCTGGCTCCCTGCTTGTGGCCTGGGAAAGCAGTTGAGGATGGCCCAAAGCCTTGGGACCCTGCACCCGTGTGGGAGACCTGGAAAGAAGTTCCTGGCTCCTGGCTTCAGTTCGGCGCAGCACAGTCACTTGGGGTGTGAATCATCGGACAGAAGATCTTCCTCTGTCTCTCCTCCTCTCTGTACATCTGCCTTTCCAATAAAATAAATAAATCTTAAAAAAAAAATAGATGCTGAATACTGCATTTAATCTTAAAGGTATATAAAACTTGAAAATATTAAAAAAATCTTTAAAAATATGTAAAATTGCTCAAAAGTGAAGTGCAAATGCTGAAATTATGTTGTTCGGTGTATCCATAGCTATTCTTACAGCAGCTCAATAGAATATGTAGTATTGCTGTTCTAATGTTAGAAATTAAGAATCTGAGGTGCCCAGTCTGATGACTTAGTGGCTAAATCCTCACCTTGCACATACCAGGATCCTGTTTGGGTGACTATTCATGTCCCTGCTGCTCCGCTGCACATCTGGCTCCCTGATTATGGCCTGGAGAAGCAGTAGAGGATTCATCAAGGCCTTGAGCACCTGCTCCCATGTGGGAGACCTAGAAGAAGCTCCTGGCTTCGAATCAGCTCAGTTCCAGCTGTTTCAGCCACTTGTGGAGTGAACCAGTGGACAGATCTTTTTCTCCTCTGTAAATCTGCCTGTCCAACAAGAATAATAATAAATAAATCATGTTAAGTTTTTAAGATATTTGTTTATTTTGGGCCCAGCCTGATGATGTGAACTGGCATTTTGTTGGATGTTGGCCCACAGGAAGAGGAATAACGTGCTGCACCACCGTGCCAGCCCTGAGATAGACATTTTTGTTTTACTATCATTTATTTTTATTTTAAAGTCAGATTGTTTTACACACAGAGAAGGAGAGACAGAAAACAAGGTCTTTTATTTGCTGGCTTACTCCCCAAATGGCTGCAGTGGTTTAGAGCTGAGCTGATCGAAGCTAAGAGCCAGGAGCTTCTTTCGGGTCTTCCATGTAGGTATGCCCAAGGACCTGGGCATTCTCCACTGCTTTCGCAAGCCATTAACAGAGAGCTGGATCAGAAGTGGAGTAGCTGGGACATGAACCAGCTCCAATATTGTATCCTGTCACACCACTGTGGAGGATTAGCTGAGTATGCCACTATACCTGTCTCTCTCAGATAGATTTTCTTATTTTAATATTTATTGATTTAAAAAGATTTATTTATTTTTATTGGAAAGGCATATTTACAGGAAAAAGGAAGTAGAAAGTAGCTACAATGATTGTAATTAAGCTGATCCAAAGCTAGGAGCCAGGAGTTTCTTCCGGGTCTGCTATGGGGGCACAGGAACCCAAGGCTTTGGCCCGTCCTCCACTGCTTTCCCAGGGAGCTGGGTGGGAAGTGGAGCAGCTGGGATACAAACCTGTGTCCATCTACGATCCTGGTATGTACAAGGTGAGGATTTGGACGCTGAGCTATTGTGCTGGGCTGCAAGATAGATTTTTTTAAGACTACGAAGGAGAGGACTTTGAGATATTTTTGCAGAAGAACTTTCTAGAACTTCTCAGGCGGAAAGAGAGAGGATTTGGATCACTGAAAGGATAATTGTTTTTGAATTACCTTTATACGAAAAAAAATTCTTATGTTTTAATTTGAAAGACAGTGAACAGAGTAGGAAAGAGCTGGGAGAGAAAGAGGAAGACAGACAATTCCCCAAATGTCTTCAGCAGCCAAAGCTAAGCCAGGCCAAAGTCAGGAGCCAAAAACTCAATCCAGGTCTCTCCTGTGTGGGTGGCAAGGATCCAAGAACTTGAGCTAACAACTGCTTCCTGCCAGTGTGCTTATTAGCAGGAAACTGGATTTACAAGTGGAGCTGGAACTCAAATCTGCACATTTAATATGGGATCCTAGCACTCGAGCTGTAACTTAACTGCTATGTCAACTACTCACCTCTTTTAATGGGAAGTTTTGAGTGTGTTTGAATGCTATTGGGAACTGAGTTGATTATAGAGACAGTTGATAACTGCACTGTGAAAGGCACTGTGAAATAGACTGTGCAGGAAGGAGGAAGGGAAATAACATGCCTATGTTTGGTTTTCGATTAATTAAAGATTTGTCTGCAAACCGTATCCAACTTCAATATCCTGGGTAAAATGTCTGGGAGATTGCGATCACTTGAATGTCTGTGTTCATCGGTGACATTGAACGTTGCTCTATGTTTTGAAATAAGTAGATTGTTCTGTGGTTATGGAAAGAAAGCCTTTCCCCTGCTCTTGGACTCTTCAAAGAACTCTGTAATACTGTAAGAATTAGTAAAATTGAAAATGTCATCTTCTCTAAGCTATGAATTCACAAAGAGGAATATGTAGTCTGGGTTAGCTGTATAACTCAATATCAAATTTTATTTATTTTTTTAAGTTTTATTTATTTTTATTGGAAAGGCAGATATACAGAGAGGAGGAGAGACAGAGAGGAAGATCTTCCATTCGATGGTACACTCCCCAAGTGGCCACCAATGGCCAGAGCTGTGCCAATCCTAAGCCAGGATCCAGAAACTTCCTCCAGGTCTCCCACACAGGTGCAGGATCCCAAGGCTTTGGGCCGTCCTCGACGGTTTTCCCAGGCCACAAGCATGGAGCTGGATGGGAAGCAGGGCCGCTGGGATTAGAAACAGCACTCATATGGGGTCCCGGCACATTCAAGGCGAGGACTTTTAGCCACTAGGCCACTGCACCGGGCCCAATACCAAATTTTATTAATATTTTTGAGTATTGCATAGGTATTCACAAACAAGGAACATGTAAGTACCATAGCAGGATGAATGCTCTCTCATCTCATTCCTTGGAATCCTTCCTGCCAGCTTTTCCACTAAATCTGTTTCCGTTCTATTTGAATAATATTTATCTCATATGTGACATCATTTTTTCCTAGTTATGCATTCTAACATGTTGGCTTCATTTAATTATATTGAATCCCTCTATTATTTTTTTCTACTGTAGAAAATGCCTAAATGTCTCATTTCCCTTCCATGATTTCAGGTTATGAGTCCAGGGACAACAATATGGAGCTCATGGTAAAGCAGATTCCTGAGGAAGCCGAATCGCATTGGATGAATCCAGGAAACACTGAAAGGAATGTTCCTCAGAGTCAAGGGTTTGCAGAAGTTGGTGACCTTAAGGGCGTGGTCCAGAGGTGGCAGGTGAACTCCGCTGTGGGGAAATCAGGGCAAAAAAAAGATCTTAGCACTGGAAAAGACCTTAACCGGAAGGAGAACTTAAGCAATGAGAGAGGTCACAAATGTCTGGATTGTGGCAAATTTTTTCTTCAAGCCTCGAACTTCATTCAGCATCGGCGAATTCACACTGGAGAAAAACCATTTACATGTGGTGAATGTGGGAAGAGCTATAACCAGCGTGTGCACCTGACTCAACACCAGAGAGTCCACACTGGTGAGAAACCCTATAAATGTCAGGTGTGTGGAAAGGCCTTCCGGGTGAGCTCCCATCTTGTGCAGCATCACAGTGTCCACAGCGGAGAGAGACCCTATGGGTGTAATGAATGTGGCAAGAACTTTGGTCGCCATTCACACCTGATTGAACATCTGAAACGCCACTTCAGGGAGAAATCCGCAAGATGTACGTGTGAAGAGTTTGTATTTGGGGAATGAAGGGAGGCCCCAATTGTCTAAAGAACGTATTACAATAGGACAGATAGATTGTGACGCTGGAAAGAGTAGGGTCAAGATTAAAGTGTGTTTGATTTTTATTGACTCTGAATTGTCAAATGAATAGATAAAATTTGTTGCTATCTCATTTTTCAAGAGTTTCCCAAGAGGTACCTACTTTCATCTCTTATTTATCCTGATAATTCCACATTTTAAATATGCTATCGGTTGACTCATCCTTCTATTGCAGGAAATGACATCTTGGCTTCCTCCCATGTTTCCTTCCAGTCTTCTCCCTTTTTTCCTTTCTTTCTTGCTTTTTTTTTTTTTTAAGATTTATTTATTTTTGTTGGAAAGGCAGATGTACAGAGAGGAGGAGAGACAGAAAGATCTTCCGTCCGATGATTCACTCCTCAAGTGACGGCAATGATCCAAAGCCAGGAGCCGGGAACTTCTTCCGGGTCTCCCACACGGGTGCAGGGTCCCAAGGCTTTGGGCCGTCCTCCACTGCTTTCCCAGGCCACAAGCAGGGAGCTGGATGGGAAGTGGCACTGCTGGGGTTAGAACTGGTGCCTGGGTCTGGCGGTGCGGCCTAGCAGCTAAAGTCCTCGCCTTGAGTGCACCGGGATCCCATATGGGCGCCGGTTCTAATCCCGGCTGCTCCACTTCCCATCCAGTTCCCTGCCTGTGGCCTGGGAAAGCAGTCGAGGACGGCCCAAAGCTTTGGGACCCTGCACCTGTGTGGGATACCCGGAAGAAGTTCCTGGTTCCTGGCTTCGGATCGGCATAGCATCGGCCGTTGTGCTCACTTGGGGAGTGATTCATCGGATGGAAGATCTTCCTCTCTGTCTCTCCTCCTCTCTGTATATCTGACTTTGCAATAAATAAATAAATCTTAAAAAAAAAAAAAAAAAAGAACCGGCGCCTATATGGGATCCTGGCGGGTTCAAGGCGAGGACCTTAACCATTGTGCTATTGCACCAGGCTCACCCCATTTGTTTTCTCATTTAATTATTTTAAAATGATAGAATAACTGCAGGAAGTTTGAAAGTAAGGAAGAGAGAGAAATCATCCATAATCCCCTTGATCTAATAGAACTGTTGCTACTTAGTGTGTTTGCTTGTAATTTTTTTCATCGTCTTATTTCCATAATTATCCTTATAGGGTACAATTAACCATTATACATTCACACTTTCTACTTGTTACTCAACCCTCCTATTATTATGACAGCCTGCTTTTATGTGGTGACATCCTAATTTACTTAGTTGTATTTTTTTTAAAGATATATTTTTTACTTGAAAGATTTTACACATACACACACAGATCTTCTGTCCTGCTGGTTGACTCTCCAAATGGCTGCAGCATACAGAACTGAGCTGATCCAAATGTGGGAGCCAGGAGCTTCTTCTGGATCTTCCACATGGGTGCAGGGACCCAAGGCCTTGGGCCGTCCTCTGCTGCTTTCCCAGGCTACAAGCAGGGGAGTGGATAGGAAGTGGAGCATGGGACGCCACTTGGCACCCATGTGGGATGGTGGCATTACCAGAGGAAGCTTAGCCTACCACGCTATGGCGACAGCTCCCATGCAACTGTATTTGTTGAGAGCCTCTATTGCTAGCAGCTTGGAGTCTGGCAGGGAAGAGGGTAGATCCAGTTTTATCCCTTGTGGAGATGATGGTCGGGTGTGGGTAGCAGATCTTGAAGGTGCCACAAGAGGAAAACTGAATCCAGGATTTTGGCTTAGGCTGAAGAGAGCAGCAACTGATAGAAGCATCATCTACCTTCTTGACAGTATTTTGGCTGGCTTATTTCCTGGCTCCTATTCAGATACTCTTGCCATTATATTAGCCCCTTCATAATCCTTCTCTTCCTGTTCCCCCAGTTCTAACAGTTCTTGTCTGGTCTCACTATCTAGTTGTGTATCTTTGTTCTATTTCATTGTGGCTGCCTTATGTATGTTTGCGTAAGAACCCCTTTGCATTTCCTGTGTGAGAGTGGCTTTTTTTTTCCCCTATATAATAAAATTTCATGCTTATTTCTGTTTAACCTCAGTAATGCTTACTTTTCTAAGTAGTTTTTATTCATGCTCAGTGACATTAAATACATAATATTCATACATTCCTGTTACTCCTAATTATATCATAATTTCATCTGATTATCCTTTTTGCTGACAGTATTTTTCTTCTGTCAAAGAACTGATGCCATTTGAACTTGCTCTTTATTTTAGGTAGTGACAAAAGAAATAAGAATCCAAGATTGAATGTTAAGAAAATGTCAGAATTTTCAGAAGCAGAAATGGAGCTATCAGGAAAAATCGAAAGAAACATTTCTCAAGTTGAAGATTTTGGAGATGGCTATGACCACCAAGACAAAGTGGATAGAAAACCAGGAATTCCTATGAAAGACATACTTGCACAACCCTCTTCAAAGAGGGTGAATTGCAGTGAAATCACATATGTTCATAAAAAATCTTCCACTGGAGAGAGACCACATAAATGTAATATATGTGGAAAGAGCTTTATTCAGAGTGCACATCTTATTCAACATCAACGAATCCACACTGGGGAGAAACCATTTAGGTGTGATGAATGTGGCAAAAGCTATAATCAGCGTGTACACCTTACTCAACATCAGCGAGTCCACACTGGTGAAAAGCCCTACACCTGTCATCTCTGTGGTAAAGCCTTTAGAGTGAGATCCCATCTTGTTCAGCATCAGAGTGTGCACAGTGGAGAGAGACCCTTTAAGTGTAATGAATGTGGGAAAGGTTTTGGAAGACGTTCACACCTCGCTGGACATCTGAGGCTCCACTCTAGGGAGAAATCTCATCAGTGCAATGAATGTGGAGAGGTCTTTTTTCAGTATGTTAGCCTGATTGAGCATCAGGTACTCCACATGGGTCAGAAAAGTGAGAAAAATGGCATTTGTGAGGAAGCATCTAGTTGGAACTTGACTGTGATTGAAGATAAGAAGATTGAGTTACAAGAGCAACCCTATAAATGTGATATATGTGGAAAAGGCTTTGGGTATAGTTCAGACCTTATTCAGCATTACAGAACTCATACTGTAGAGAAACCCTATAAATGTGATATATGTAGAGAAAATGGCCAGTGTTCCCATAAAAAGCAACATCCAAAAATTTGTTCCAGCACGAAATCCCATCAATGTGATGAATGTGGAAGAGGGTTCACTCTGAAGTCACATCTTCATCAACATCAGAGAATCCATACTGGAGAGAAGCCCTATCAATGTAAAGAATGTGGGATGAGTTTTAGTTGGAGTTGTAGCCTCTTTAAACATCTGAGATGCCATGAGAGAACAGATTCCATAAGTGCTGTAAGTGTATAGGTCTTCCTGTCATACAGCAGTTCTTAGTTTCAGAGACGCCTTCCCGAAGAGAAGCCTTACTCCTACAATGAGTGTAACAACTTCAAGTTTCTAAAGTTTGTCATGCCCACAGATATGTCCAAAATGTAGCCTTTAGGAACATTGGAGAATCCACAAGAAGTAGATACCTATTTGCTTTTCCATGCTTTGTTTACCATCTTCATGCTTGGGATTATAGGCAAAGAGAACAAATGACTATTGTGGATGAAGAAAAGTTTCAGGTGACACTCCTTTATTTGAAATTCAGAAAATTGGTACTGGAAAAATCCCATGAATGCAGTGGATAGAAGCTTGTTTTGTAGTTTTTGCCTTGACAGCCTATCTATTCAGGGAAGAGTGCAGTGAAAAAAGAACTTTAGCATGATAGCTGTTTGGGTACCTCATCTATAGACCCTTTTTAAAGCAATGATTATCCCAACCACTAGAATACTCAATCATTGTTCCCATCTGAATATTAAACTTGTTGAAAAGAAACTGACAACTTATCTATTTTGGCAAAATTGGAATCAGAGTGGATTGTATGATGTGTGTTTCTCTTGCCGTATTCAATCTGCAACTTCTTGAAACACCCCATGTTGTTTTGATTCTAGTAGCATCAAGGTTATCTAGTGCAAAGAGTTCTAACTAGTAAACTCAGGAGAAACTGTGCTGCTTAGTCACATCAGAAGGTCAAGAAAGAGGGGCCCTACCGGAGCAGAGAATGGGCAAAACTGGACTGCATTGTATTTTATGACCCACAATAATGAGGGCAGCTAAGTCCGCAGAAAAAAATTGGGCCATCTTGAGTTAAGGGTCAGGCAGTCTGTGAACCGATTCCCAGGTACCGTGATAGGCCTGTCTTGCGAATTGATGGTGTTCAGTCAGAATGAGTTTAAATACACTTTGCAGCTAGCGTTGGAAGTTAATGTAACAAGGAGCAGACTTGACATGACCCAATTAGCCATACCTTGTGGGAAAGTGTTAATTTTGAGGGGAAAAGAAGATGGCATGTGTCCGACTGTTAGCTTTAACCTGTTGGCTACAGGGTGAAAATGCTTTTGGAGTCTGCTGAGCACTATCTGGATTTTGCCTGAGGTACAATAATAAATGCTCATTAAATATTTATGTGTGGCACACTGGTGATCTATCCAGGCTCCTTTATCAAGTTAGCACACCAATCTATGCCACCCAGCTGCTCCCATTTCTCCAGACTCCAGTGCAATTGTCCTTGGACAATGGGAGCTGCTTCAGCAAGAGTTATCTGTCCTCCACACTCTCAGCCAATGCCTGATACGGAGTACAAAAGGCTGACTCATTTGCTCAGGGTTGGGGAGGAAGGGAAGGTTGGAAGAGGAAGTTCTATGGTGTAATTATACTCCAGAACCCTCTGTTGGGATCCAACCAAGGACAGATTTTATCTTAGCCTTTGTCTATGCTCAGAGCTTTCACTTTTCTACCCTGTTTTATTCTCTCCCTCAAAGAATTCTTTAATTAATTAATTTATTTTATTGGAAAGGCAAATTCACAGAGGGAAAGGTCTTCCAGGCACTGATTCACCCCCCAAGGGGCCACAATGGCCAGAGCTGAATTGATCCGAAGCCAGGAGCTTCTTCTGGGTCTCTCACGCAGGTGCAGGGTCCCAAGGCTTTGGGTTGTCTACTGCTTTCCCAGGTCACAAGCAGGGAGCTGTAAGGAAAGTGGAGCAGCTGGGACATGAATCAGTGCCTATATGGGATCCTTGCACAAAGTGAGGACTTTAGTCACTAGACCATTGTGCTGGGAAAGGCTTTGTTTCTGAAAAGGACATCCTCAAATAAATAAACACCCACGTCAGGGTATGCTCAGCAACCTTATCTAGGACATTTGTTGCAATGAATGTTAGGAAGCTGACTGCAAGAGAAAGTTAAGGAATAAATCAGTCACCACGAAGTAATGAAAACCCTTTCACTGATGATTGGTGGAGTCCCTGGCACATGGCACCTGCTTAACCAATGAGACATTCACTTATGAATTGGGATGGTATACAGTTGGGAAAGGATTCTTTTGTCCCTGTCTGATCAAGCTGAATTCTGTGAAAGAGTTTATCTACTCTTATCCTTCAATTTGGCCTCCACAGGGAACGGGATTAGGCCTCTGGCCCCACCCTGCTGCCACCACCTTGTGGCAGGAGGAACCTAGGGGATGGGTGTTTGGCTACAGGGCTCGGGTGAAAGCAGCCCTCAGCAGCGTGGCGGCTGTGGAGGGTACCTGAGCCAGGTCGGTCCCAGTGCTTGGGACTTGGGCCATGGGCACTGTTGCCACGCGGTGAGCGAGTCCTGAGCTTTTGGGAGCCCTGAGATTTCTGCCCCCATGGTGAATATGCTAGGAGGAAATCTCGGGAACAGGATCAGGCCTCTGTCCCTGCCCTGCTGCCACCACCCTGTGACAGGAGGAACCTAAGGGATGGGTGTTTGGTTGCAGGGCTCGGGTGAAAGCAGCCCTCAGCATCATGGTGACTGCGGAGGGTACCCGAGCCAGGTCGGGCCCAAGGCTTGGGATTCGGTCCATGGGCACTGTCACCACACGGTGAGCCAGTCTTGAGCTTTTGGGAGGCCAGCATGCCAAGTGGGGCGAGGCTGAACCTGCTGGCTGCCCGGCAGCAAGCTCTAGGGTTTTGGGGTATGTAATTGCTGTCTGGAGACATCCATGGATAAGGCCAATGTGAGCGTAGGTGAGGGATGAATCCTTGACTCCCAGTGATGGGGTCACGGAACTTGCGGGCAAGCATGGGGGCTGAGACCTGGTGGTTTGGAGGGGAGAGTCTGTATGGTCTGTTTGGGTCAGACTGATTCACCAGCCCACATAGGAGTCCTGAGATTGGCTGTTAGCATATAACAGAGCTGACTGCCATATGCTAGTCCACGTGAAAGCTATGGCTGGGGCCCTATCTGGCAGAGCTAGATCCCAGTACCTGACTGAGTGTTGGAACAGGGGATGAGTCACATGAGGAAGGGTAATGAAACCAACCAGTACGTGAGAGAACCAGGTCCGGGGGTAGATTCTGTGGGAGATAAATGGGCCCAACCCTGTGGAAATACAAGTCCCACTGGTTAGCTTAAGAGTTTGGGTGGTGGGCCCAGTGCTATAGTGTAGTGGCTAAGGTCCTTGCCTTGCATGCGCTGGGATCCTATATGGGCACCAGTTTTAATCCTAGCAGCCCTGCTTCCCATCCAGCTCCCTGCCTGTGGCCTGGGAAAGCAGTCAAGGATGGCCCAAAGCCTTGGGACCCTGCACTCATGTGGGATACTCAGAAGAAGCACCTGGCTCCTGGCTTTGGATTGGCTCAGTTCCGGCCACTGCAGCCACTTGGTGAGTTAACCATCAGACGGAAGATCTTCCTCTCTATCTCTCCTCTCTGTATATCTGACTATCCAATAAAAATAAATAAATCTTTAAAAAAACCAAAAGAGTTTGGGTGGTGATGGGCTAAGCTAGGAATGACGATGGAACCCACTGACACTCATGGGTGCTGCAGCTGGAAACAGTCTGGGCAGTTCCAGGCTGCAGCACCTGCACGTACATCCTACCACAGGGTGTGAGGCAGGCTGGGCTGCAACATCCTCTAGCTCATACAAAGACCAAGATGGAGTGGCAGGATAGGGCAAGGATCTAGCACCTGCTGGAGCATGTGAGCTCTGGGTCAGGGAGTGGGCCAAGTGGGGGAACCTGGGAATTTGGGGAACCTGTTGGGAGTCACAACTCCTGCTGGTGAGTATGTGTTTTAGGCCTGGGTGTTGGGCAATCTGAGCAGGGTAACCTCAACATTTGACCTAATGTGTGGATTGGTTTTAGAGAGGGGCAACCAGGCAGGACCGAGCCAACCTTACCTCACTGGCAAGAGCAGAAACCAGGATGGAACACAGGTCAAGTTCAGCTAGGCTGTCATACCTACCAGGTTACATGAGACTATGACAGGAGCTGACGGAGCAAGATGAGGTTCTAGCACCTGCCAGCGAGTTGTGGGATTTGGGATAGGCTGGGTTAGACCAGGCTACAGTATCCAAAGGCAAAGGTCGTGACCAGTGAGGGAGTAGGCCAAGATGGGTCAGAGCAACCATTACCATGTGCAAGCTCTATATCTGGGAACACACCTAGGGTATGCCTTGGTTGTGTTGTGGTTCCCACTGGTAAGCACAAGGCTTGAGTGGGGGATTTGTTCTGGTCTGGATGTGGCTTTAGTGTGTCTTGGCATAAGTGTGGACTAGGGCTGAGTGCGCTGAAATGGGTTAGACCCCCCTCCAGCACCCATTGATGCTTGTGAGGACCAGAGTAGATGTAGACCGGGCTAGGCTAGGTCTCTGCCCCTACTGAGCCATGTGTGAACTGTGTCTGTGTTTGGACCAGGCTAGACTGGGCTGTAACACCCAGCAATAGTAACCTGAAAGGATTGAAGGCCAGTCAGGAAAGGCCAATGTTCCTGCTAGATCAAGAGGTGGACTGAATAGGGCTGGCTCATGGACCCACCAGTGTACACAAGATCTGGCACTGGGAGAAGTTCAGATGGAGGAGTCTGACAAACTCCTCTGTTGGGACACAGTGCCTGTAGGTGAGCACAAGAACTGTGATAAGGAGCAGCCCAGATCAGGCCAGAGATTGGCACCCAGTACCACACATTTGGCACAGGTTGGGAGCAGACCAGGCAGGACCAATTCACATCACCCCCTGGCAAAACAGAGAACCATAATGGAGTGTGGGTCAGGCTGGGTGGGTCCGGTTGCAACACACACCAGTACACAAGAGGGCTTAGACTGGGTGCCAGCTGGGCTGGACTAGGCTTTAACCCCCACCAACTTGAGCTGGATTTGGGGGTGGGCTGGGCCTGGCCAGCCTACAGCTCCCGCCGGCAAAACCTGAGGTTGGCAGGCCATGGCAGACTAGGCCATGGCATCCAACCAGCACATGAAAGACCTGGGGGTAAGGGGCAAAGCTGGTAGGGGGAATTTGGAGGGTCTCCCTGCTGGACCACCACTCCCACTGGAGAGTGTGAGCTGAGACGGGGACAGACCAGACCAAGCAGGGCTACAACATCTGTGGGCCTCATGCGAGCTGGACCAGGGAAAAGCCAGGTTGGGTTGACTGTTTGTGCTGGTGCAAGCATAGGTTAGAGTGGGTGTGGGTTGGTTGGGTTCTGCTGCAGCATCAGCTAGCAGATACTGGCATGGGGGACTAATTTGGTCAAGCCAAACTGCAGAACCATCTGAAGAATGCATGATCCGGGAATGGGAGTGGGCTCAGGAGGGAAACAGTGAGCACCTCCCTCCTGCGTTGTCACTGCCTGGTGAGCATAAAAACCAGGACTTGGGCAGGCATGGCTAGACAGAGAGTGGCACCCATCAGTAGGTGCGTGGGATGGATAGTGGGGCTGCTTGAATCTAGGCTTCAATGCCCATTGACAAGTATAAGAGCTGAATGGGATGTGGGAGAGGCTGGACCAGTCTGCTGTACATACTGGCAAGCATGGAAACCAGGGCAGGGGGCAGACCTGGTGGGGGTTATTGGGAGCTGCCCCAACTAGGCTGCAGCTCCCACTGGTTTACATGGCCAAGTGTGTGGTGGGCAGGATTGGAATGGGCACCAGCACCCATTGATTTGTGTAGAAGACAGGCCTGGAAACAGAACTGACTCAGCACTTACAACCACCAGATATGCATAAGCTGATTGGGGTGATGGACAGTGCTGGACCCTGTACTGGCATGCACACACAAGAATCAGGTCTGGGATCACCTCAGATGAAGATTCTTTGAGGATCCCCCAATCGAGCCGCCAGACTCAGAACTCCAACCAAGAAGAGAAGTGTGTCAATACTGATCCTCCTCAGTGGCTCAGACAGAGCAGTGGACAGCATATCCAGGTGCACGTGGAGGTTATTGTAGTACATTGGAGCCTGCAGAGGATACCTAATACCACAACAGAAGACAGAACAAATTGATCAACTACCCAGCCAAGTGTTGGCAGTGAAAACCCGGGCAAGTGGAGATGCTAAGGCAGACTATGTCAGCCAGTGGATGCTGAAGATTTCATTGTCTTGGATTGGTGAGATTGGCAGCAATTCAGAACAGCTGAACTATCAAAACCACTTGAGCAATGTCATTGGAGCATATCTCACATCGGGGACCCTGGGATGGTTTGGAGGCTGGGTGTGACTTCTCTCTTTGTCTCTCCCTTTCCCCCAGATACAGGAAGGAAAAAAGAGAATGTGGAAACAATGGTCTCACCCACTTTTGTAGCCCTTGAACCTTTGCGCCCTAATGAACTATA